GCTTTCGTGGACTACAGCCCACTTCTTCAGATGCATCCGAAGAAGTGGGCTGTAGTCCACGAAAGCTTATGCTCTAATAAATTTGTTAGTCTCTAAGGTGCCACAAGTACTCCTGTTCTTTTTACGGATACAGACTAACACGGCTGCTATTCTGATACTTTTTCTTATCTATACAACTAAAATATGATTACCTTTGAAAGTATTAGTCCTAGAAACATACATAGTCTGGGTCACTTCCAACTAGAAAATGTAGAAAACTGGTTTCTGTGGCCAATACAGCCCAAGTATGGTTCATATAGGACACAGCCCATGGAAGAAGGTGGGAGTTGCAGCAGTATCACAGTGTCATGTGACTGGATTGAACACATGAGAAAACATCCTCTTATAGAAGAGCTTTCAATCCTGAGTTGATGGATATTGGGAAGACTTGACCTGCTAATGATATCTAACTTATTCTGTGGATAGATAAAGGACTTCTGTCTCACTCTCTACTATTCTCATTCTAGTATCTTTTGAGAAGAAAGATGGCCATGTTAAAGGAACTGACCTGGAACTCAGGCCATCTGGGTTTAATTCCTAGCTCCACCAGGAACTTCTTGAGTGATCTTGTGCATGTCCTCTTAATTTCTCTGTGCTTCTGTTTGACAGGTGTAGAACAGGGGTGATAACATTTGCAGTGCCCTGCAGTCATGTGGGTTTGGAAGAAACTGCAGAGGGGGGCCGTCCAGGAATCAATGTTAGCAAGAGAGCAACTGTAGAAAGCAATTGAATGAGGGACTAATGGAAACTGATGATGGCATAAGACTGCTTTCTACATCTTTCACACTCATCATTATCGCCCCGGCTCCAACCCTTCCCACCTTCTCCTTCACAGTCTCCAACCTCCTCCATTCCTTTGTCTTTCCATCTAACTATCCCCGTTCTAACATGACCCAACTGAAAGGATTTAAATAAAAAAAAAGGAGGGGGGGGGAGAATCACAGAACTAACATGGCTCTTGCAGCCATCACCATGTTAGTTTGCTTGTATGTTTTATCTCTTTCCCCTACCCTTTGTCTTATCTATTTAGATTGTCAGCTCTTTGGGGCAGGGACTGTGTCTTATTCTGTGATTATACAGTGCCTAGCACCATGGTGCCCTGTTCTCAATAAACCACTAGGCACTAACATAATAAACATGATACATTTAAAAAACCCATGTTCCTTCACCACTCTTTGTGTAACTTATCCATTTAAACTGGAGGTTCTTTGAGCACAGATTGTCTTACTTTGTGTTTGTCTGGTGCTTAGTCCAGTAGAACCCAAATCTCAGGAGGAGCCTCTCTGTGGTACAAAATACTAAATGATCTTTCAGAAGCACTAGAATTTTGCCTTAAAATGCTTAGAAGTAACTTTATTTATCTATTCCTTTTTAAAATACAAATCAGAGAGTTTGCACAATGGGCAATCCCAGGTTTAACAATGAAAAAAGTTCTAGATTGGGAAAACAAACTGAGACTTTATGATGGCTAGGTCTTTGTCCAGATTAAATTAACTGTGTTCTCAAAGTTACCAAAGCAGATTAATAGAGATAAGATTTTAAACACTAATGTAGGATTTGATCCACCATTACATTTATAATGAAGCCTGGTCTTGGAGAGCAAACTTATATAATTTCTTCCAGTAACATTTTATATCAAATTAAAATTAAATTGAGACACAGTAAGTTTAGATCTTTATTAGATTAATTCAATGTATCTGTTCATCTAGGAACATGCCACCCATCCATAATGATGACATGTAAAAGACCCCTATTCTTTTGACTGATTTGATTTATTGTATTTATGCTTTGTTACATACAATGCTTTGTCTCATTTTATTTCATTATTTGCTGACTATTTAGCACCCATTTTCTCTTAAAGGACTTGGCATAATTATAAAATACCAGTGTGAAGAGTAGTGCGTGGTAACTGCTGCATATGTGATACAGAGGGTGGGCTACATGTTTCTTACATAGCTATCTTCAATCACCTCATTCACCCAGCAGCATTTCTGCCACCCTTTGAGAAGGCTGCTTTTTAGCCCCCCAGGCTGATGGAAGAACATCACAATAGTCTGATGAACAGGGTCATGGTGATAGGGTTGCAGTAGGCAGACAGTGAAAGGAATTCATATTCGGACATCTGTTGAAGACACTTGATCTTCAAAATTGATTTGAATTCAAAACAAGCTGATGAGGTAGGGGCCCAGATGAAACAAGGGAGTAACGGATTGCACCAGAGTAAGATATGTAGCAGCATGAGAACGTCCGGTGCAAGACTCAAAAAGAACACTTCAGTAAGTTTAGTAAGGGTGGAATCAAGTAAATCTGGGTCTGTTTAAGTGATACAGGTGAACAAGAAGACTAAGAAGGAGTGTGGTCTAATAGAATGAACGCAGGACTCAGAAATATGAGTTCTAAGCCCAACCCTGTTACAAGTCACTGTAACTCGGTGCCCATCTTCCTCCTGGGATGTTTTTAGCATTAATTGTTGCTTGTAAAGCACTTAGTATTTACATAGCACTGTACATTTGCAAAGTTTCATTATCTTCTGATTTAGTGCAGCCCTACAGGTATGGATGACGATTGAAGAACACATGGGTGTCATTTAGGACTTGTATATAACACCAGATAAGTAGATATGGTGCTTCCAAAGAGAATACATCAGTCCCGCCCCAGAGCCTTCGACATAGATAGATGCAGAAGAGCAGTAAAGTGAACAAAATATGGATGTCATATTGGAAAAGGTGGTTAAACAGATAAAGGCCTACAAAAGAGACAAAGTGGTGTTTTCACAGAATGACCAGATGAGGAATTTTCAAGATACTGACAGGACCCAGGGAACATGGGATTAAAGAATAGCAGTACCAAAAACAACACCACCACTGATGCTAAGGATCCAAGACAACAGTAGATAGAGGAGCATTTCATTTCTAAACTTCAGCAGGAGAACACTGCATGGCACTGAAGACTCCCTTGTTTCCAAGCATTCCTAGGTATTCCCCTTTGAATATCACTTCTCTTTGAGTCTTTTTATTGGTACAGATAAAAGGCTATTATTACTGCTGCCAATTACCATACATAAAACAATAATACTGCTGCAGATACTGGTTTATGGGTAGATTATCATTCTTTTTAAAAAATTTTGTAGATTATGATTTTGCCAAGGGAATTTTGTCTCACGCATTCCAACACGAGTGCAGCCAACTATCAAGTATATTTTGTGAATAGTAGCCACAAATTTGAGCTTGGGAATTCTGAAGCAATAGTGCTGTAAGGTTGGAAGTTTCAACTGTCCAAGGGATAAAAAGCTTTTAGCTTATCCTCCCTTCTTTTCCACTAAATAAGCCCTTCTTCACGGTCTCTGCCTTAATCAATTTCAGAGAGGTAAATAAAATCAATAAACAACCTCAGGACTTTAAAACCCTCCCTTGCAGCCTTTGCCTTCTCCCCAGGTAAAAGCCATTCAATGGACACATCAAGGTGCTTTGGACTTTAGATCATTGCACTGCCTCCACTTTTAAAAGAGAACTAGTTAATGATAGCATTTGTCATTAATGCTGCCAAGAGCTCTCAAACTCGCTCATGTTGAAAATATGACACAACCCGAATGAAACAGATGCCTCAGAATTCCATGCTTAGCATTTGTGGATTTAACATACAAGAGAGCTTAGTATAGATTTCTCTCAAAGGTTCTTGATGTTGTGGAGCCATCAACTGTTGAGTTCCCCTCCCAGTACT